GGGGGGGGATGGAGCTGTATTGTTCTGTAAAGCAGTTCTTGTAGCAGTCGGGTCTTCACGTAACATGGGTCTACTTGGTAGACGAGCGCTGACAGTATAGCGTGAGTCTCAACGCTGTCAAACGCTTTCTCATAGTCGAAGAAGAGGACGAGAGGTGGGCGGTGCTCAAAACCCGACAATCCTCGAAAGCGTTTGGATGTAATCCACGCAGCTAATCCCTTGCGAAATCCAGGTTGTCCTAAAGGATGGGCTTCATCCAGTGTTTCTGATATGCAAGTGAGAGTAATCTTCGTGAAGAGATTGTATTGCTCAGCAGGCATATTGGGCGGTAGTAAAAATTTTCCCTCTCGCCCTTCTAAAGTAGGTTTGTTCGGGAGGTTCCTGGTCGAACTTTTTCTTCTGAGGGTAAGACATTGGGACCGTAAGTATCTCGTGTAGGCGATGTCTTCAGCTCATAAGAGTTCGGCCTAGACGCGTAATCCCCAGAGCCGTGGCTGTCTTTATGCTTCGGGTTGCGGCGCGTACTTCTGCAAGTGAAATCCGTGGTATTTCTATAGTGGGGATAACGGGATTTGACACGGATGTTGATGAGCAGAAGAGATTAGTGTAGAATCTCTGCGTAATCGATACTATCTTCTGTCGTGGAGATGTGCAACTCCCGCCTTCGTTTATCATTGTTAGCGGATTACGATGGTCGAAAAGGCCTCAACAATACTTCATCAAACTTCTTTCCCTCTGCTAATTCCGAAAATTTCGACTTTCATGCACTTTCAAACATCTTCTTGCAAAGCTGTTCTGCAAGGATATTGGCTATCATTCGCTCAAGATTTGATGTAGGGGCCAGCCCCAGTGCTCTCCTCTTCTCAAGCGAATCCTTAGTGGCCAGAAAATCGTTCCAAAGCCTTATTCAAAGTTTTAAGGTACTTTCACAACAAGCTCTCAGGTCTCTGAGAAGCAGGTCGCAGTTTTTCGTTGGATCCTTCTCAGTGGGCCATTCACAAGTGGTCAGGAGCTCCTTCAACCTGACGCCGTCGTAAACGACTTCTCTCCTCCCTCCAACTGACTGATCTTTTCCCAGTTTTCAGTTAAATCGCACTATTGCTCGAAGGAGACGGTGACTTGAACATTCGTTAGAGGATGATACCACTGAGACGTCCCGTCCCGTAAGCACCGCCTGGTTGGTGAGAATGTGGTCAATCTCCATATTTGGGTAACTCTTATGTCCACTGCCGGTGTTCTTTCATCAGTAAGATAGAGCTGCCATAAAAAAGTCGTGCGCCGGATAAGAGCCCAACAAGACGCAATCCTGATTCAAATCTCCAATCCTATGCTCCCCTATTCACACTGAGCAACGCACGACGTTCACGAAAGAAATTTATCCTGAGGATACTCCCTCAACTCATAAAAAATACCATGTTGCGAGTCATCCGCTGCTGATGTTGGAAAATAGCAGTTGATGATAATACAATGGTTTTCTGATGCAACGGACGGAGTCGAAAGATAGCCAGGCGGAGTGATAGAATCTCATGCGAATCGACATAGACAACAGAAGGGTGTATGACAAATCAGCGTCTCAAACATTCCATGGTGGAACTCTCTCACAAATGATGAGTGGGCCATCATTCAGCTGCCTCATGACTGTCTTTCTAGTGCTGCAAGGGCAAATACGTGGTGGTTGATGGTCCTGCAGCTTCAAGAACGACGTGAAGGTTGGTGGAGACTGTCCTAGCGCTGTAGGTGTAGGCCATGAGACAATCTCCATGACAAATCGCTTACGTGTCCTTCTGTCCAAAACCCGTGGCGTGCCGTGCAACCTGACACTAATTTTACCAGCATCCGACGCCGGAGAGGTAATCCAGTGTGCAGGGCTTTTCTCCCTTTTACATGCTACAAGCAAAGATTGATCCCCAAACTTATCAGCCTTGCCAGAGCCTGCCAAGCTTTCACCACAGCCAATTGCTGGCTCGCGTGGATCAGGACACCACCTAGCACTAGCTCAGCCAACCGATGCCGCCGCAGGACCTAGTATTAGCTGGACATACTTTCAGCTCGGGAGAGCCTGCTAAAGGATAAACCTCCGCTGTATTTCGCAGTTCGACACGAGAGTAACCCTCGTGAAAATGAGCCGATGGACCACCATCATGCAGTGAAAGAACAACCATTAATTTCCACAGATATTTAGGATTTAGAAAGTGGAGTT